AAGGCAACACGCCGGGTTAGAGGCACGCGTCCCGTTCACGATGCTTTCCCGAGACACCTGAAGGCAACACGCCGGGTTAGAGGCACGCGTCCTGTTCACAACGCTTTCCCGAGGCAGTCAAAGTGAAATTATCGATTATAGATTTGAAGTTTTACTCGTTTCCTAAAACAATCCGATCATGTGACCGTCTCTCCTCAGACCCACCTCGTGCAGGAACCCCAGCAGGAACCTCACCACGATGAAGTTGTGTTCAGGGAGACTTTCTACGATCTGTTTGCACCTGGAGGCCCGCAGGCTGCTCTCCACACCTGAGACACGTCGGAACATGATCAGAACCAGACAGAACCCTGCAGAAATCACACGGTCGCTGCTCCGACTCACCGAGCAGCTCCTGGACCTGGTTGTAGACCCTGAAGGTGAGCAGAGGTTCTGGCAGCTCTCTGAGGAATGTCTTCAGGATCACGGCAGGAACGTGGACGTCCTGGTACTTATCGAAGTCCACCGGCTTCCCTGGAGGACGATAAGAGCTGCAGGTCACACCAACATTTGATCCTGGTCCAGTTTCAGCAAAAGTTTCTGTGTGAAAACTTTTAGTTTGATGTGGATCGACTCAGACCTCCTGCAGGATTCACAACCAGTTTCAAAATAAAGTTTAACGTCAGGAGATGATCAAAGACGTTCTCTCTTCAGAATCAGAACCTGGTTCTGTTCAGCCCCTGCAGGTGGGGCAGGGAGACCCCGCTCACCCTGGTTATAGAGTTTCTGGACGTCCGTGATGATCTGGACCTGAACCGAACGCCTGAAGATCCCCTCAGTCCTCAGCCCTGCAACACAAACACCCATCTGGACTTAATCCAGGTTTATTTAGACCAGGCTTACCTTCAACCAGGTTTAACTAAACCAAGTTAAACTAATCTAGAACTAACTAACCAATTTTTAACTACTACAGTTTTACGTAACCCAGACTCAAACAGTTCAGGCTTAACTAACCTGGTTTAAAGTAATCTAGATTTAACTAACCAGTGTTTAACCAATCAAATCCAGTCCTAACTCAACCAGGTTTAACTGATCCGGGTTTAACTGATCCAGGTTTGACCAGTCCTAACAGGCCAGGTTTCCAGACTCTGGTTCTGGTTCTGTCCAGCTGTCGTTCTTGGGGGTGAAGCAGAAATAAATAAATAAAATTTCAAACGTTTTTTTGTTTAAGATGTTTCCGGCCTCGTTCGTTTAATGAAGTTTAAGAGAAATGCACAAAGATTTCAGGGTGAGAGGCAAACCTCAAAATTATTTATCAGTTTTCTTCAGTTTCCAAAAATCTGTAAAAACTAGAATCCTAACTGAGCAAAACTACAAAATGTTTTTGTAGTTTTATTTCATGCTTTAGAAATAAAAGATTTAAAAATAAATAAAATTATTTCATTTAAACTTGATCTGCCTGAAACACCCGTTCGTTTCCCAGGGACCGTTATTACGGTCGCACGACATCCGTCGTTAATCTTCACGGGTTCAGAAGTCGTTTCATAAAATAAAGTTTTAATGTATTTTAACTCTTGAGTTCTGCTGAGGACGGCCTCTGTGTACTACACGTCCCATGATGCTTTGCTGAGAGAACCGTCAGGTGGCCCCTCACCTTTCTCCTTCAGGTAGGCCACAGTCTGAGCCATCACAGGTGGGATGGTGGCGTCCCGGTTCTTCTCTCTGATGCTGCAGGACAAACCGTTAGAGAACCGGCAGCTGATCGCACACGGGCTCCGAACTTACGCAACACTCACTACTGCAGGCTCACGCCAAACTGCTGGGTGGGGAGGGGGGGCCGAGGAGGCGGAGTCTTCACAGAGGGAGGGGCTCCGCCCTTCTGAGCCGCTCGCAGCTTCTCGTCGTGTCTGCGACAAACACGTGATGAGGAACACGCGTGATGCGGAACACGCCAACGGCAGAGGAGGAGGAGCTACCTGAGGACGTCCGTGGGGATGAAGAGCTGGTCGTAGTTCAGGTGGTGGCGCAGCTCCGTCAGGTAGTTCACGTACTTCAGCTTCTGCCCAAACTTGTGACTGAGAGGAAACAAACAGGAAGTCAAAGTCAGGAGCAAGAGCAGCTGAAGCTCCGCCCACTGGTCCAGGTGTGTTTTCACCTGATCAGAGGTTTGAAGATGTTCCAAACGATCCGGATGAAGTTTGTCGGATGAACGACGTACAGCGTCTTCAGGTTCTTCTTGTACCTGTCACACAACCAGCAGAACCTGAGACCTGGTCCAGGTGACAGCAGCTCTGGTTCCTCTAGCTGCTGTCACCTCTGGACACATCATGAAGCTCCAACAGGCTCAGTGAGCCGTCAATCAAAAGCCAGGGATACTGTCTGACCGTTTCCATGGAAACGTCCCCCCAGGTGACCTACTTCCTGTCGAACTCGCCATAGGCCTCTCGCAGCCACTTCACAGACGGCTTGTTGGCGCTCCTGAGGCCGAAGTGGAAGTAAACCAGGATGTAGTCCATCTCCACGTACTGGTCCAAGGTGAACTTCAGGTACCTGCAGAAGGAGAACAAGGTGAGAAGCAGCCGCGGGCCCAGGACGCCGGTTCTGTCCAGTCCAGGACGTACTCCAGGAGGCGGCGGTGGTTCAGCTGGTGGGACGGAGGGAGACAGCAGCTGCTGAAGACGATCAGCTTCCGGCCGTAGTTATCGTCCCCTGAAGACGAGACGGAGACATCAGGACGTGTCCACTAAAACAGGAAGCTGAAAGCTAACGGTGACAAACATCTAGCTAGTAGCTGAAAGTAGCCAAAAGAGACAAAAACAGCCGGCAGCTAAAGATCGTAAAGAGAAAAGTGTTTCAAAACTGAAGATGAGTTTCTATGGAAAATTTTTATAAATGAAGAGAAATGTTTGGAAAAACATAAATTACACAAAAAATAAAGTCACAGCCACCATGGGCTGAACAAGCCGAATGTTTCCACGTAGCAAGAGCTAAAATGAAACGTAGAGAGTAAAAACTAGAGACAAATACAAACAGAAACTGGGAACGCTGAGTCGGCACTAAACAGAGATCGTTATGCTGAGTCAGCGTTAGATGCTGTGATTTGTTACAGTGAGTCAGCGAATTATCAACACACGGGGACAGAGAGGAGCCTAAAGAGGTTAAAGTTCACGTTGTCCTGGAGGGTTTTGTGTCTTTCGTTCTAACACCACTCATTCTCCTTTCAGAACTTTTCTGGGACAGTACCTCTGAAGAAAGAGAAAGAAAGAAAGAGAATAACCTTCACATCAACAAGAAGAAGACAAAGGAGATGATCGTGGACTTCAAAAGGAACAAACACATCTACACCCCCTGAACATAAGAGGATCTGTGGTGGAAGTGGTCTCCAGCTACAAGTACTTGGGTGTACACCTGAACAACAACCTCAGCTGGAGCAACAACACCACCAGCCTGATGAAGAAAGATCATCAGAGACTCTACTTCCTCAGACGGCTGAGATGAGCTGGTCTGGAAGCTCAGTCCTCACCTCCTTCTACAGGTGTGCAGTGGAGAGCATCCTGTGCTCCAGCATCAACGTGTGGCATGGAGGCTGCACAGCTGCAGAAAGAAAAGCTTTGCAGAGAGTGGTGAAGGCTGCACAGAAGATGTTGGAGTCAGTCTCCCCACCATCACAGACATCTACACCTCCAGATGCAGGAAGAGGGCCACCTGCATCATGAAGGACCACACTCACCCAGCACACACACTTTTTGCCCCACTCCCCTCAGGAAGGAGGTTGAGGAGCATTAAGTGTAGAACCACTAGACTGAGGAACAGCTTCTACCCTGAGGCTGTTAGACTCATGAATCTCTAACCAGAATAATCACTGTGAAAAACCATATCATGTTGCTGCTGATCTGTTTCATGTTGCTGCTGATCTGTTTCAATGTTGATGTGTTCATGCGTGCACATCTGCTCACAGACTCATGTTCATGTTTGTGCTGATGTTCAATGTTTTATGTTATGAGTGCTTAGTGTATATTTAGTTGATGTTTTTCTTAGTTCATATCTTAGATGTTATTACTGTTTTTCTTATACATTTTATTGTTGGATGTAACTGGGACCCTGTGGACATCATTTTGTTCCACCACATGTACCCCATGAGGTGCGAATGACAACAAAGCATCTCTGACCTGAGACCTGCAGGATCCCGTGCCGGGCCACATCGTAGAACGGGTGAGACGGGTGAGACGGGTGAGACGGGTCAGGACTCGAGGAGCTGCTGGAGGGAAGAGACGGACCATCAGGATCGCTCCTCTGCTCTTCCTCATCCTCATCCTCTCTCTGCAGATCTGTGAAACCAGAACCAGAACCAGAACACAGACTCAGCTGCTGAATTACCACTGATGGGTCTGGATTCAGATTAGAGCGGACAGGAAGTTCCTGAACAGAACTTCCTGTCCGCTCTGTAAACAGCAGAGTGGACCCGATCAGATGCAGCAGAACCTACGGGCTCAGCAGGAAGTTTGTTCTAAACACAGACAACAGACAGGAAATGACCCGCTCACAGACAGGAAGTGATGCTGCGCTCACAGCCAGCCGCCCACAAACAAAAGTTCTGAAGGTTCTGACCCGGTTTGAACCAGAACTGAGGGGTTCTGGTTCAACAGCTGAAACTGAACAAACTTGTAAAGGAATGCATATCACCCTCAGATACTACCACCTCCAAGTTGAGCTCAAAATCTGTTTATTTGTTTGTTTGTTTGTTTGTGTCCTCTTCAACTGGCGGGTGATAATGTTTCCCTCATGTTTGTTAAAATCCTTACAGGTCTGTGAAATATTCAGACGATGACCAGCGTTAGAAGCTGCCAATTCAAGATGGCCGCCACAGCTAATCCACAGCAGCATCAGCTAAAATCAGCTGCAGGGGTTCAGCTAACAACCAGCCGAACTTCAGCTCATTGACCACTGACCCAGTAAACTGGGTTTGTTTGATTGCGTCATCTCCGGTTTCGGCTCGACTGAACTACAGAAGCCCACATGATGAAGCTGCCGCCGCCGTGCTCCACCGGTTCCGGTTCTCTGGATCCGACAGATGCTGATCAATAATCAATCAACTCACCTACTTCCGCCAGCTGCTCCAGTTCCGACATTCTGAACACAAAGCCCGAACTTCCAGGTCCACTTCACTCACAGCTCAGGAAAAGGTCCAAGCACGAGCCCAGAACCGGACCCGGACCCGTTAACGCGGGACCGGTCGTTCAAACGGTCCAAACGTCTCGTGGAGCCGCACCTGTCGGGACAACATCCGGGACACTCACCTGGAGCAGCGCGGCGCGCGCAGGAAGCTGAAGAACCGGTTCTGACCCAGAACTTTCTCCAACACGGAGGAGTGCCACTGCGCATGCGCAGAGCGGCAGCTGCTCTACAAGGAAAAAGTTTATTTTTAAATTTAAATTATGAGTTAAAGAGACTACTAACCAAACATTCATTTAACTTTTATTTTATTTATCAGTTTGACAAGTTTGTGAAAAATAAAACAGGAATATATTAAAGAAGTTTAATAAATATAAGAATAATTTAGTAAAATATAACATTCTTATGTTTTCTTGTTTTATGTTTGTTTCTTTTAATAATTAAATATAAACTGATTTAATTTGATTACATTTATTTAAAAATTATTTCAAAATCCCCTGATTTGAAGCATTTTACTGAAATAGAGTTTTAGCTGCTGTGGAGAAAACTTTTGCTGTTTTAAACCGTCCTGCAGGTGAAAACAGCTAAAATCTTTATGCTTCTGTGGAATCTTATGAACAAGTAATATCTTACCTGTTGCAGAGAATTAACTAAGCACCCCAAAAGGTCAGATCCTAGAATCGCCCCTGCTCTGAAACCAGTCTTCCAACCACGATTCACGATGTCTGGACTGGTTCATGAAAGGCTGGTAGTCTGTTACCATGAATGGATGTGATGAGCTGAAGTCTGACCAAGTGTCGAGACATCAGTGACTCTGACGTCTTTAGTAAAAAGTTCTTATGTGTTGACCTGTTATGGAAGAAGATCCACTCAACAACCAAAGACACGTTGTTTTATTGTCTCTGCAGTGCAGGTCATGGAAGAAACAGTCCTGTCCAACGTGTCACATTCAGGGGACCACGCCACAACCACAACCCGTCTACTGGAACTCCACAAGGGTCAAAGTGGTCCTGGTCCTCCAGGAACTTTCCTAAAACTGAACTGTGTCATCATTAAGGTTTTTCTAAACTGGAACCTGCTGATGTAAAATGATTAATAAATGACCACGAACAAACCAACAATTTTTCAGTCAGCTCATCTGGACAGTTTCTTTTTTTTTTGTTTGTGCTGAAAAGTTTCACCTTCCATCCAGAAGGCTTCATCAGTCAAGGAGGCACACAACAAAACTGATTCTTCCCCCAACAGCTTACTCCACAGTGGAACAAACCAGTTATGTTGGTGCTAAGATGGTCTCTTTGGTGCTGGCCCTCTTCCTTGTTGACAGTCATGTCAAACTGGTTCAAAACCAACAAAGTCCATGCTCAACAAACGAACAAACTTTGTATCACATAAAAATGGAGAAGATCAGGAATGAGATCATCAGAGGTACAGCACAGGTTGAACAACTGGGAGGTAACGTTGGAGAGGACACACTGAGATGGTTTGGACATGTCCAGAGGAGGGACAGTGGTGTGGACATGTCCAGAGGAGGGGCAGTAGTTTGGACATGTCCAGAGGAGGGACAGTAGTTTGGACATGTCCAGAGGAGGGGCAGTAGTTTGGACATGTCCAGAGGAGGGACAGTAGTTTGGACATGTCCAGAAGAGGGACAGTGGGTATATTGGTAGAAGGATGTTAGAAATGCAGCTGCAGGAAAAAGACAAAGAGGAGACATGTGGAGTTAGAGAGGACATGGAGGTAGATGGAGTGAGGACAGAGTGAGGACAGAGGACAGAGTGAGGACAGAGGACACAGAAGACAGAGTGAGGACAGAGTGAGGACAGAGGGCAGAGTGAGGACAGAGTGAGGACAGAGGACACAGAGGACAGAGTGAGGCCAGAGGACAGAGTGAGGACAGAGGACACAGAGTACAGAGTGAGATGAAGGAGGATGACTCGCTGTGGAGAAACCTGAAGAAGGAAAAGCCGAAAGAAGAAGTTTAGAAGGAAAAATGGACAAATGTTAAACTCCAGTACAACCACAATGACCTCACTCCTACATGTTTTATTTTATTTTTTTTACATCTTTTAAGACTTTTGAATATATTTTAACAAACAAAAGTGTTCCATTTGTCTAATGGTCTGGGTTTCTTTTTCTCTATACATCTGTTTTTGTTTACCAGGTAATATCAAACAGCTGCATTATTTAATTAAAATTATTACTTTTAAAATATTCAGTGCCTCTAAAAACATTATTTTTACCTATACTTTTTGTGTGAACGCCCAATTGTCATTAGTGTTTCAGGAATTTTATTTAGATATTCAGAACTAAACCTCTTGAACTTCCAGCTGCCAAACTAAACCGGAGTGTTTGTAAGAAAGTAGTTCCTTTTGTCACAGAATGTTGGTAAATTCAGGAAAGAGGAGCGGACGATGTGGCTGGGTTTAATTTCAGATTACATATAGAACAAGCAGAGATCTATGGAAATTAAAACATCACCAAATAAAACTAATAATTAAATTACTTTCTTTTTTTAACAGCGTCAGCAGATGAGATGTGGGTTTTAGTTTCTCCAGAACTGACGACGCAAACGTAATCCAGCTGATGTTGTATCTGTAATACTGATTTGTATCTTTATTTTTATTTGATGGTTTCCAGTCCACTGTGCTTCTTTGTTCCTGTTGTACAGCACTTGTTGGCCTTGCTCTTGTTTTAACTGCTCTATAAAGAAATTGGTATGGATGGAGACGATGGTGTGAGTGACGAAGATATTTATTAGCTTCTTAGATTCTGACTGAACGGGTCTGATGTGATGGTTCAGTCTGGAAGAGAACTGCCTTCAAATCTGAGCTTTATGGTTCAAATCTTACAAGTGAACAATTTTTAAAGGAAAAACTGAAAATATAAATGCACTATGACAAACACCAAGTGTGAATGATGCTGGAGGTTCAGTCTGGTAGACAACACACACTATACACACATACACACTATACACACATACACACTATACACACATACACACTATAAACACATACACACATACTATAG